AACGTTGATCCCAGGTACAAACCCATCCACTAGAAGCTGAGGAATATGAGTATTGAGAGAGGCTAAGCCATGAAAAGGGAAGTGGAGAAGTTACTGAAAAATGGGTCAGTAAGGGAGGTAGTCTACCCAGATTGGCTATCCAACATAGTGATGGTTACGAAGGCCAATAGAAATTGGCGCCTCTGCATGGATTTTACGAAGCTCAACAAAGCCTGTCCCAAGAACAACTATCCTCTCCTACGCATTGATCTCTTTATTGATGCCACCACGGTACACGAGCTCATGAGTTTTCTGAATTCCTACTCTGGGTACAACCAGATTATCATGTTCCATCTAGACCAGGAGAAAACTTCATTCATCACCCCGAAGGGCACCTATTACTATAGGGTGATGCCTTTCAGACTCAAGAACGTTGGAGCCACATATCAGCGCCTCATGAAAAAGATGTTCAAGGTTAAGATTGGGAAGACTGTGGAGGTTTACGTAGACAATATGTTGGTGAAGAGTAAGGTTGCGGCAGACCATGTGACACACCTCCAAGAAACTTTTGATGTACTGAGAACCTACAAGATGAAGCTGAATCATGAAAAAGTGCGCCTTTGGCGTCAGTTCAAAAAATTCTTAGGCTTCATGGTCAACAAAAGGGGAATTAAAGTAACCCAGACAAGATCAAAGCCATCTTGGAGATGAGGTCCCCAGCCTCGGTAAAGGAGATCAAGCTCCTTAATAAGAAGATAGCGGCCCTCAACATGTTTGTTTCAAAATTAGCAAAACAAATGCCTACCTTTCTTTAAAATCCTCCATAAGTCTTTCCAGTGGGGACCAGATGCAGAGGAAACCTTCCAACAGTTAAAAGCCTACCTCGTCAAACCACCCTTTTTCTCCCATGTTGTACCGGGAGAGACCTTATAACTCTACCTCTCCTCTTCACCCTTTGTCATGAGCTCTATCCTCATTCGAAAGGAGTGAGGCATCCAGAAGCCTAGGTACTATGTAAGTAGGGCATATTGAGGAGCAAAGATAAGGTACTCGAAGCTTGAAGAGTTGGCTCTCGCACTTGTCATTGCCGTTAGGCATCTACGCCACTACTTTTAGAGCCACACCATCATGGTTGTTACAGATCAACCACTCAAAAGAATTTTGAGAAAGCCCGATGTGTCCTGTCGACTACTCAAGTGGGCCATCAAGTTAAGTGAGTTCGATGTGTAGTACCAGCCGAGGACGACCATTAAAGCAAAAACACTAGCGGACTTCATGGTCGAGTCTACGTCGCCACAAGAGTCTAGGGATTCTACACTGCCACAAGAGTCTCGGGAGTATACCCCACCACAGGAGTCCCTAAAGGAGCCCACCTACTCAATACATACTGCTTCCACCCACCATGAGGCTAGCCCAGACACTATAATAAGAGTGCCCGACATCTCAGAGATAGCTTCATAGGCCTTGGGAGACCACACTCAAAGACTAGAGGCGCCCGACTCCCGTATACCTACCCCACCAGAGCCCTCTATGCCCTCTCTACTGTCTATTGAACCATGTTGGAGACTATACGTGGATGGGTCCTCCACCAGCGAGGGCGACAGCATGAGACTAGTGTTGATCACCCCCACGACACTCCACTCAAGTACGTTGTCTCCCTCCACTTTACAATATCCAACACCCAAACTAAATATAAGTCCCTCATATTAGGATTGAAGTTGGCATTAGAGATGGAGGCCCTCTACCAGATAGCCTATAATGGCTCATAGTTGAGAGTCAACCAGATAAAGGGAGACTTTGAAGCAAATAAGCAGAGAATGCAAGAATACCTGTTAGTGGTCCAGACTTTGTTAAAAAGGTTTACTTACTTCCAAATCCACCATGTGTCCCGAGAGGAGAATGTCATGGCAGATGCTCTCGCCAAATTCATGTCTACCAACATACTCATGGGCCCGACGCTAACAAGTCACCAGTTCGAGCCAAGCACCTTCCAGACATAGGAGGACTATGTTAATTGTACATTCTCAAAAACCAAGTAGATGAAACCCATCCGAGCCAACCTAGAGGAGGGCACTCTCTCGGACAACCCATTGGAAGCCAAAAAGTTGAGGATGAGAGCGCCCACGTGTGTCATCTTATGCGACACTCTAAAAAAAGAGTTACTCACTACCACTTCTCCGATGTTTTACCCCTGAGGAAGCTAATTATTCCATGAGGAAGATCCTTGAGGGAATATGTGAAAATCACTTGGGAGGACATGCACAAGCCCACAATGCAGTAAGGCAAGGCTACTACAGGCCTAGCTTGATCAGAGACGCCCAAGAGTTCGTCAGGTAGTGCAACAAGTGCCAACACTTTGCAACTATACCCAGACAGTCACCTGAAGAGCTCACCACCATTTAGAGTCCATGGCCCTTCTCCGTGTAGGGGATCGACATCCTAGGTCCCCTACCCATGAATCGAGGCATGTTCAAGTTTGTGGTAATAGTCATTGACTACTTTACTAAATTGGCAGAAGCCGAGACCTTAGCCAGGATAAGACTAGAAGGTGAAAAACTTCATATGGAGGAGTCTAGGTTGCCGCTTCGGAGTATCTCACGCCATTGTGAGTGACAATGCCAAGCAGTTTGACAACAAACTCATTAATAGCTTCTGTGTTGACTTACAGATCAAGCAGCCTCACTACAGCCCGACCCATCCACAGGCAAACGGGCAGGCAGAGGTCACCGTCAGGACCGTCCTCCATAATTTGAAAACTAAATTGGAGAGTGTGAAAGAACGATGGGTAGACAACTCCAGGGAGTGTTGTGGGCTTACCAGATGACACCAAGGAGCCCTACGGGCGAGACCCCTTTTTCCTTAGCCTATGATACAGAGGCAGTCATGCCTGTTAAGATTGGGGTGCACTCCCTTAGTGTCTAGCACCATGACCCTACAAGTAATGAAGAAGGCCTTCGCATCAACCTTGACCTGGTAGAGGAGGAGAGGGAGATAGTTATCCTCAGGAATGCAGAGTACAAGCATCGCATGATCAAGTACTACAAATCGAGGGTGAAGCCTCGCTCCTTCTTGCCCGGAGACCTAGTCCTCCAAAAGGTCACCTTGTCTACCAAATTCTCTTAGGAAGGGACAAGAGGACCCAACTGGGAAGGACCCTACACGGTCACAAAAGTTATAAGACTAGGCACCTACAAAATTCAAAGTTCCGAGGGAAATGTTTTGGCCAATCCATGGAACGCAGAGTACCTAAAGAAATATTACCAGTAGCTGGGGGCAAGGTAGTGAGTGTATAAGTTAGTAGTCATCATTTAGATTATCTATTGTTGTTTTGGTCAATTTCCTTTGATATTTACTTCGAATTATGAAATAAAATTTCGCAAATATTTTTTCAAAAAATTTTTATCTCATAAAAACTCATAATACATTTACAACAGATAGAAAAAGGCCTAGTAACAAAAATATAAATACAAAGATACCATGCTCTTGAAGTCACTTACTGCCCTTCGATCCGCTCCCTTCATCGCTCGCCTCCTCATCATCTGTCCTTGGAGCCACATAAGGGACGAAGCCAGAAAAATCAAAAGCGAAAAAAGTTGTTGAGATCTTCCTCTTGAGCTCCTCATAGCCATCAATAAAGGCATCTGCCACAGCCCTCTTAGCAGCGTCCCTCTTCTTCTCCATCTCTATGGAGTAAGCCTCTATCCTAGTAGCTCTCTCAAGACATACTTGAAGGTTAGCCTCTGCTACAGCAACCCTCTAATGGGACGCTTGCTGCTCTGTCTCTACCTTCATGCAGGCAGCCTCTCTGTCAGCCTCCAACTGGGGGCCCTCTCGCGGGACGCCTGAAGCTCAGTCTCAAGTGTGGTAGCTCTCTCCTGTGCTAGTCTTGAATGCTCCTCGGCAGCCTCTCACGCCTACCTCTCGATCCCTAGATGCTCCTTAGCAGTCCTCTACAACTACCACTCTGCTGCTTGACCATTAAGCGCCTCTCTAAGCTTTATCGTGCTTGAAAACAAGCAGTAAAAAGCAGGAACTACCTATAGACATTCAAAAGATAGAACATGAAAAGAAGGAAGCCAGGTACAAGATCAAAGATGAGTAAAAGGCATACCAAAGTAAAGCCCTCCATCGTTGTGTCGATGACGCCCTCTAGACCTCGAGAACCAGCCTCCTCGATCTCCATGGAAGTCACATAATCTCTGAGAACTCCTTGAAAGGATGGTCACGAATTATCTAGAGCCTACTATCCTGCTCTACAGATAATGTGGGTGAAACTACATAGAAGCCAATTATACAATGAGAGCAGATGTGTGACGAATAGAACTAAAAATGAAAGTGGAATTCTTACCTAACTTGGTCCTCAGGATGGTGTCCTACCTTAAAGGCACCAGGTCACAATCTCCCTTAGTGGCCCACTCACCTCCAACAAAGAACTTAGACTTCTAGCAATGACAGTTCGAAGAAAGCCTAGTGATGAACTTGTTCGACCCACGGGGTGAAACGACACCACACTTGATGAGGAAAAGGGTTATTTAGAAGCACATAAGTGGTCAAAAACTCTTCGAATGGGAGAGGTATGTCAGCACTGTGAACTAGCCACCATAGTGAGAAAAATGCCAATATCACCCTCCACCCGTTGGGAGCCAACGTCCCGAGAGCCAGTAACAGATGTCCTAGGACCCAACATATGGGCCTAGGTATTGGGAACCTCAAACTCGCCTCTAAGGCATCCTCATAAAGAACAATCTCACCCGAGGAGTCACTACATGCTAGCTCATCCTCCTCTGCCCAAAAACACATGATAGTAGGAGGGATATGATACAATCGATATAATCAGTGCAATCAATGGAGTTGAATATGGAAGTCACCTTTGAGTCATTATCTCCAGTAGTCCCCTTGTTTCGCTCGATGTCTCGAGAAGTTTCCCCCACAATGACCTTGTCAGAGTGGGTGCTTGCCAAGAAACAAAATTAAGACAGAATCAATGCCATTGTCAAGAGAATACCAGTATCTAGTGAGGCTTAGTCCATGGAGTAGAAGCTTAGTCCTAGGAAATTTGTTTTGAAGAACATCTTACCTATTTGGAGAACAAGCATGCCCAAGCCTTTATTGGCGTCGCCCATCACTCCCAAGCCTCCACCGGCGTCGTCCTCTGCGCCTATGCTTCCACTAGAGCCCTTCCCCGTGCCACCACTTTGACAAGCGTAGCTTGCCATGACACTGGCGCCACCCAGTACATGATGGGCATCGCCCCACCTAGCCTCTTCGGCGTCTTCCTAAGGATGCCCTTTGGCGTCGACCAACCCACAAAGGGTGTTGCTACCTATGCCCCTAGCGCCATCAGCAAAGGAGCTAACACCACCATCCACTCAGGAACCCGTACCAAATGCACTGGCCACCAGATCTCCTATGACATCGCCTAAGCCACCCCTCATCTCGCCCATTGAGGTGATGGCTTCAGCACCGTTGGCATCCCTGTCTTCGACTCCCATGGCATCGCCAGTGCCATGGGCGTCGTGTTCTCCACCTTAGTCGTAACCTAGAACAAAATGGGTGTCGCCCATGCCTTCTCCAATGCGGGTGCCGCACATGCCCTCTCCACTACCAGCTGCCATGGAATTTTGCTGGGAATCACGTCGTCGAACGTCGCCTTTGGCGTCTCTGAAACCGTCTACTGGTGGGTTGTCTCTCTCAAGGCAAGAGATCAATTGAGGAAATGTCGATACCCCTTCTTTGCTAGATTCTTTCAAAGCCATTGGTTTCCATGCTTAGATTGGCCTCCTAAATTCTTTAGAAGTACCCTAAAATAAGGGAATGGGGTTTTTAAGGTTGAATCTCTACTCAGCAAAGCAAGAAATATAGGGAAAATGAGTTCTCAAGAATGAAGAAATCAAAGGTTGGAGAAGTACTATGGGGAAGAAGAAATCTTTTAGCTTTCTAGACGAAGAAGCTCACTCGTGCCCGCAATCCTTTTTTACCACCACTGGGGCTTAGGACATGGAGGGTAAATGACGAGCCCAAATCTAACTGGGCTGGACCCAATAAATCAAGTAAGCCCAAATCAGCTAAAGGACAAGTCAATCCCAGTTCGAGAATTGGACCCAACCCAAGTTTGAAGGAGTCCAAGAAGAATTAGAACATGTGGTGAGCAATTATTGGGATACTCGTTTTCGAAGATCAAGAAAACCTTTTATGGCAATTACCTTTTGTAGCTACTCCGAGAATTAGTACCTTTGCCCTCAAGTCATCGCCTTAACCAAGGTCATGTGCCTATAAATTGTATGTCCTTTCTACATGCGAGGACACATTGAGCTCTACCTCTATACCACTCTACACACACAGTTTTTCTCTCTCCTAACTATTGTACCTCTCCCGGAGCTAACAATTGCTCTCTCTCTCTCTCCTGTTTACCTTACTTTATCAATAAAGGTCCCTCGGCCACGATTGCCATTTTCGAAGTGGAGTAGGTCACCTGGACCGAACCACTATATATCTGTGTTGACCCAATATTTATATTATTGCCATTGATTACTCTATTACTTATCCATTAATTACACTTTATCACACACTCGACTGTTGATCTTGCACGAGATTATTTTGATCATCATCATATATAATGGATAAATGTTGTATATTCTGCTTCAAGATTGGTTGGTGAAAGTTAGAGAAACTATGGGAAGGGATCCTAGAGAGCCAAAATAACTAACCAAACTGGTGAGAATTACTAGGTTATCGAAAATTCAAAACTCAGCTCAAGCTATAAGCTGGCCCACTTGGCTCGCCTCAGCTCAAGCTATAAGGCCATCAAGCATTGCCCACCCTATAGTCAAAATAACAGAACTGCTCCCTTATAGGCACATAGCCCTCATCAATTAATCTCGATATCCATTATGAGATTATGTATTGTGTCTACAACTCTAAATTGCTTGGTTGTTCCTATTTTTCTAATAACCTTTTTTTCTTTCTAATATATTTTTTTGGACACATTGTTACTTTTATAATTTTATACCAAATATTCAATTCTTATTAGTGAATTGTTTGATGCTCTATCAATGTATATCAGTTATGTAAGCAAATTAGTGATTTAGTGATATTTTTTGCCTTTTTATTTCATTTAACTATTTTAATCTTTTATCGTATTTATTAATATTGATGTTAATAATTATTCTTTTATTTTTAATGATATGATTGATTTGACCGATTGACATGGTCGAATCAATTACCTATGAACCTGATCTCTTGGTCAAGTTAATGTTTGAGTTGATTTTAAAACTATGATTCCAACCATTGATCTCGCTTATGTTTGATTAGTAGTTTACAAAGATAATTTTATCATTTTCTAGTGTAAAAAAGTAATAGTCATACCTGATGATGCACAAAAATGACTTGTGTAAGATCAACAGTCAAGGATATTAACGAGTGTGATTAATGAGCAATTAATGAGCATTCAACGGTAATCAATGGACAAAAATAGTAAATAAGCAATCAACACAGAGATTTATAGTGGTTTAGTCCGAGTGACCTACGTCCACTCTCGAGAATGGCGATGATGGCCTGGGGCATTTTATTAATGAATAGAGTCACCAAGAGAGTCACTCCAGTGTATTACAGTGCTTTGGAGAGAGAGAGAGAGAAAAAAGCGATGTGTGTAGGAAGGTGTAGTGTGTGTAGGGATATAAGAGTCTCAAGGTCATAAGGAGATCTCAAGGTCATAAGGAGATGCCCTCTATGTGGAGAGGGCTTACATTATATAGGCTTAGTAAGGCGGTGAAGCGGTGACGTGAGGAAGGGAGTTTCTACCATTTTGGTAAGTTTAATTTTAGTAGGATTAAATCTCCGTATCCCAATATTCCTTCCCACGTGCTCCTATTCCGTCGGAGAAAGATCCTGAGATAGACTAGGCTTGGTCTTGACCTTGGACTTGCTTTGAAGTTAGGAGGACAAAGGGGGGAGAACTAGAGGGCCTAGCCATGGGCAGTGCCCTTAGGCGAGATGGAAGAATGGGCGAGAGCCCTAGCTGTCCTGGGCAAGGACACCAGGCAGGTGGGCGCCAGACAGGCGGGCGTTGGGCACTGGCTCCATGGTGCTTTGGGCGTTGGCTTCTCAACTTCTTTTTGGATTCCTTCATGATGGTTTGACCCAGCTCCGATTGAGCTTCGATGACTTGGGCTCTTTCTAGGCTCTCTCAACTCATTTTTATCGGGCTTGGCCCAATTAATTTCGGGCTCATCATTTGCCCCCCATACCCCAAGCCTCTGACTTTTTGTAGGAGGAAGGGGTTAAGGGCATGTGTTTCGTCTTCGCTTGAGTGAGTATGAATTTTCTTGCTTCCCACGATGCTTTTTTATCATCAGGACTTGCTGAACTTTTTGATATCAAATTTTTTTTTTCTTCTTGGCTTTTTCCTTTGGCGCTGGCCCCTTGGCCTTCTCTTTTTTTTTTTTTGTCTTTCTTCTTTGGCTTCCTTGGCGTGGGCCTCCCTTTCCCTTTTTTTTCTTTTTTTTTCTTTTTCTTTCTTCCTTGGCTTGGGCGCCGCCTCTTGGCTTTCTTTTTCTTTTTTTCTTCTTCTTGGGCGCCGCCTCCTTCTCACTCTTTGTTTTTTTTGGGCCTGGGCTACAATGGAGGCTAATGTGGGGGCCACTGGAGACGGGTATGGTGCTTTGAGTGACATCAGGAGGCTGAACAGCGCCTTGAACAATGCTAGGAGGTTAGACAGGCACTTTGGGCGACACCAAGAGGCTGGTTAGGCACCTTCCGTGACTCTAGGAGGCCTTGGGCACTGCTATGTTTGGGCAACGCCTTGAGTCTCGCTATGGGCAGCGCCTCTCTAGTGCTTGGTCACTGACTGAGATTGTCTCTAATTATAAAGGCCCTATTGATCTGGGCACTTTCTCTACTTTTAGGGTGGTGTCTTTCCCTCCTCTCAAGAGGGCGAGATTTGATGCCCCTAGTGTTTTTTGACTAACGTCTGATGGCCAGGTTGCTTTTCGGGAGTAAGGTTAGGTGGTGCCCCCACTCATTCCCAAACTATGACTCTTGTGTGCCTAGCAAAAATAATATTATCCCAACATTAAAATATCCAACATGATTACCTGGAGAGAGAGGCAGACTGTTTGCATGGGAACAAAGTCAGAGATGTGGACGTCCCGTGAAAGGTCGCATGAACTGAGGCCAAGCTACGTACAGTCTCAGAGATGGCTGGAGATCTACCATGGTAGAAGTGACTACTTGTATGAGAGCAGTCATAGAGGTCGAGCTACATATAGTCTCGAAGATGGCTGCCATAGCAGAGGCTTACTAGTTGACTTGCGAGAGAGTAGAGTCATAGACCGAGCTACGTATAGTATCGGGAAATGGCTGCCGTAGCAGAGGCTTACTAGGTGACTTGCCCGAGAGCAGCGTCATAGGTTGAGCTACGTATAGTCTCGGGAGATGGCTGTCGTAGCAGATCCTTGGCTTTGGTATGTCCCGCACTCCTCTTTAGCTTTGTACCTGGCTTTCTTTCTTTATACTTTACTTTTGAGTGCCTGCAGGTGGCTGCTGCTTTGCCTTGATTGTTTACCAGTACACTGAAGATCAGGGAGGCAATCGATGGCCAGACACGTGAGGCTGCTAATTAGCAGGTAGGGCTCGGGTGACAGGCACGGGAAGATGTCATGGAGCAGTAGGGCTCAGGCGACAGACACGAGAGAATGCCGCAAAGTAATTTGCGGTTGGCTCATGAATTAGGCGCTAAGCCAGTGATTAAGGCTGCTCGGGAATAGAGGTAGAACTACGTATAGCTCAAAAGAGGGTTGTCGTGACAGAGACTTATTCCATTGAGATGGAGATGAGGAGGGCTCTCTCATTCCATTGAGATGGAGATGAAGTGGGCTGGGCGCCTGAGGCTCATTCCATTGAGATGGAAATGAGGGGGGTGCTGACGAGATAGGCTCTCATTCCATTGAGATAGAGGTGAGGAGGGTGCTGATGAGCTGGGCACCTGGTTAGAGGGGGTGAGACCCATCATGGGGGCGCCTAAGGTGGAGAGAGCAAGACCCCTCATCTGGGCGCCTAGTGAGAGGGGGTGAGACCCATCCTCTAGGACCATCTAGTGAGAGGGGGTAAGACCCATCATTTGGGCCGCCTAGTGAGAGTGGGTAAGACCCATCGTCTAGGCCGCCTGGTGAGAGGGGGTGACACCCATTTTCTGGGTGACATCGAAGGAGGTGCTAAGGTGGAGAGGGCGAGACCATCATGGGGGCACCTAAGGTGGAGAGGGCGAGCCCCCACCTCTAGGCAACGTTATGGGAGGCATCCAAGGTGGAGAGGACGAGACCTCTCATCTGGACGCCTTTTGACTTTTTATCTACTTTGTTGATAGGTCGTAGGCTGTTTGAGATGAAAACAAGACAATTACGAAAACCTTAATATTGCAAATTTTATTTCATAAAATAATGAATAACAAAATAAATCAACTGAAATTGTAAAAGATAAATAAAATCTTCAGGTG